CCTGGGGACTGTAAAATTCAGCATCTGCCTCAGTGGCTTGAAACCCCAAGGAAGGCTCCCTCAGCCTTTCCTAAGCCACGTGTCCATCCAGTGTCTATCTTCTCCAATTGTCTCTTTTCTTTCTCCGCTGGGCGACTTTCAAGTTCACCCCATGCTCTCTGTATATACAATGCTCTCTGTATATACAATGCTCTCTGTATATATGCCCTTCTCCCTTCCTGCCCACCTTTGGGAGCTTGAATCCAAGCAAATCCATTTTTCCCAGCTCTACTGGAGACATTGGTGGCTGGGGCACCCTCCTCTGAACAAGTCCTTGGTGGGGAGAGAGTGCCCTCTAGTGGGTAGCAGCTGGGAGTGGCTCTGGACCAGCATTGCCCAGCCAAGGACAAAACAGTCCTTTTCACACAGCCCTCCCACCGGGTCTCTTGAATGTGCCTTTGGGTTTGGTTTGTTTTTCTTCTTGTGTGAAGAAAATAAATAAAGATTGAACAGCAACAGCGGGAGGCCATTTGTGAGAGCAGCTCCTCACCAGGCTGTGACAATCTCCTTATCTCTGGAGTTTTAGCACTGGATTAACCCTAGGGCAGGTGATGGCAGCAATGCAACCTGACTTCAGGTGTTTTCTAAGGGCTGTGACAACTTCTGTATAAATCACTTACCTGCCATGACTGGTCCCCATGCTGATTGGAATGGGAGGGGTGATTTGTGGGTAGGAAACTCCTCCTTTAGGAATTGTTACCTAACAAGGTTAAATATCTTGTTGCTAAGTGAAGCCAGTGGGTCTGTTAGAATGCTGTATCAGCAGCATGCACAGGCATCAGGGCACTTTAAAGCCTGGTCCAGGGAAAGATGTTGGGAGGGAGAGGGAGGGGGTACAGGGCACCCATCAGGGAGGTGGGAACCTGATCATATGTGATGGCTGCTGGATTAGGTAACAGCTCGGCTGGTTGAAATTGGATCTTGGAGGACGAGTGTTAACATCTCTGGTGTCCCAGTGAAAGGTTCATTTGAGTCTTGCATGGTGCTAGAGAAATAAAAAGGAGCTTTTAAATAATCATTTTGTCTCCAACTCACCAGAGTACTGACTTCAAGACATAAATAGGAAGCATCACTTCTGTTAGCCATATCCACTGTTTCATTTATTTATTTAATGCTGGTGGGATTTTTTTTTTAAACTGCTTAGCAGAACAGTTTCCGGGTCAGTGAATCCCAATACCTGTTTTTATAGTGGTACCTTGAAATCTTGTTCTAGGAAGAAATATGGACCTGCGAGATTCTGTGCCTTCTCCAAATGGGCATATGCAGTGCAAGGCCTTCCAAACCTCCTGTGTAGTATATAACACAGCAAAGTGTTCCCCTATTTGCATTTAGTTCTTGAACATATTCCAACATTGTCTGTTTTCATGATTAGAGACTAATTTAGAAGGCGCAAGACACAATGTGTATGGGGATCCTTCTGGGCTTTTGTTTTTCTTTTCTTTTTTCTGCACCTTTTCACTCTTTTTCAAATTTCTGGTGGAACCCACCCACTTGTGTATTTCTAGCAAATTCAAATGCCTTTAGAAAGAGTATTTGCTTAGAGCATTTATCCGGTAAAACCTAGGCACTTCTCTCATTGCCCTCCACCCCCGTAAATCTTCATTCCCCATACAGAAATGAGTGCACTGTCTTCCTGAAACTTCCACTCTGGATAGTCTTTAGCACTGTTATCTTCTGCATCTCCCACAGCAGCCTTAGAAAGTTCTGTCCTTATCTTATTTAAAGTATTTTAAATTTCACAGTCAAGCGAGATATGCATTAGCTTGAGGAGAGTTTATTAGGATGAGCTTGGCTGTTTAAAAACACTGAGGCAGGGGCACAACTGAAACCCAGAAGGGTAGGAAGAAAGAGTAGTCTCTGGGGATATCAGGCATAAAGGAACCAATTGTCTGTGCCTGTTCATGGTCACCTACCTGATCCATGGGTGTCGCTCCCTCACAACCAACTTTGCTAGAGGATGAGTTGGGGGTTTAGGAGGCTGTCTTCAGCACCAGCTCTATTGGAGGAGGGGAGTACCTGACATCGCTTTTGGCAGGCAGAGCCTGGGAGAGGAGGCGCTGACTGTTGGATAACCTTCTTTTTGACTGTGCTGCTGTTGGGGAGAACAGATATCATCACTAGTGATAGGCCATATGCAAGGGGCATAGGCTACAGAGTCGCCAGGAGAATGCCATCAGACATATTAGCACCTGGCCAAATGTTACCAGTTTTAGCATCATGGGAAATTTTTAGCTCTGGGAGTTAGCTTTGGTCTCTTCCAAGGGAATGTATTTGACATCAGAGTCAGAAGACTGGATTTATAGCTGGCTAGGGTGGGATGTATTTGTCATCCCAGCATGCAGTGGAGGCCAAACAGGGACCTTATGAGCTTGAGGCCAGCCATTGGGTCTATAGTAAGATCTATGCTGAATGAATGAAAGAGAATGAGAACATTGTCTTAGAGGGCTGGAGAGGTGACTTAGGAGCTAAGAGTATGGACTATTCTTCCAGAGGACCTGGGTTCAATTTGCAGCACCCATATCATGGCTCACAGCTATCTGTAACTCCTGTTCTAAAGAACCCAACACCCTTACACAGACATACATGCAAGCAAAATACAAATGCACATAAAAATACTAGTAATAAATAAATTGTGTTTTAAACAAAAACTATTGCCTTGGGGGGGGGAGTTTAAATTATCCATCTAAAACAACGTATTTGTGCTTTAATAGGTCAGAGGTAGCTCCTTTTTAAAAATTTGTGAATGGCTCATAAATACCCTTTTGATGAAGTGATTAAAATCCACCAGGCAAAGAAACACACCTAGACACCCTGTAAATGATGTCTTCATGCCTTCATTAGAAGGGGTGGGGGCTTGACTTTGAGGCTTGATTTGGAAGGATAGATTCTGTGCAGTGTCTTTAGAGCCAGCCATGCAGGAAAAAGTGCTCGTATCCAGTCGCTATCTTCAAGAACTTTTGTTAGTGGTGAGTTCTTCAGAGGACTTTGGAGATCTGAGTAACAATGTTCAAAACACAGAAGAATCTGGCTCTGTTGTCAATAGTCAGCCAACAGGACAATTTCTATAGAAAGGTTTGCGCCTACTAGAATGAGATTTCATTGAGTGGGACCTTCACAGTGTCCCACTACATTCATTTCTCCTCATGTGATCCCACTGTAGCAATTTGACACGCACATGGAAGAACACTTTTGGAACAAAAGGGGAAGCTAATGAATACCCAAGTGTTGCAGTATGCAGGTCAATGGGTTTCTTTTCTCCTCTACATCTTTCCTTCCTTTCTTGTTCCCTTTTGTACTTCATCAAGAAGTACTGTTTGGAATCTTCACCACCACCTGGTGACCTTCCTCCTACTCTCCTGTGTTTGATGATGAAAGCCACGCTGTAGTTTTCCTTCTGGAACCAGAATTGGGATTTCCTTTAGACTGAAGGATGGTACCTCTTGGAAGCTCTGGAATCCAGGAGCACGTGGGCACAGCCAGCAGCGATGCTGGCATTATCTGTAAGGGATGGCTTCATCTGTTGTCTTCTTATGTTGAAGTCATTCCTACCTTCCGCATCACAGCCCCTGGAGTGAGGAGGGCTGCCCAGGAGAAAGGAAGTTCTTGGTACTATCAAACAGCTCTTGATTCTAGTAGTCTTTGTCCATCCACTGAGACTTAGATCCCATCTTCTCCATCCCTAAACAAGGTCCACAGAGTGGCCCATTCTCTTCAGCTTTTTTTCAATGTTGAAAACACTCTTCACATTGTCTTTCCACAAAGTCTTGGCTGCTGAAGCCACAACTGGATTTAGTTGAGTGGTTTGTTTATTTGAAGGCAGGTGGTGTGCAGGAGGCACAGAAGCATTTCCCGTGAGCCACTCTGCCCAATCTCTTGATCTCCTCCAGTCTAAGTCACCCCCACTCACAAAGTTGTGGTGTTTCCATAAAAAGTACCCAGATTTCGATCTGACACTCCATCCTACCAGAACCTTGGGATTGCTGAATCCATGAAAACATCTTGTTACAAAGACCACACCCTTGCTTTGCACAGAACCATCCAGAACAGATGGATCTCAGCTTTAAAACCAGCATGTTCCTATGCCGGGGTTAATTTGTCTTCCCATTTTTCCAGACTAATCTTCATTCTTTTAGCTAGTCCAAGGAAAAGGTTTCAGGATTTAATTGCATGAGCTGGATTGGCCTTGAAGAAGTTATTTTGGAAATGAAAATATAAGTAATCCAATATTGCAAAAAACACCACAGAGTAAAAGCTACAAAGAGAGATCTAAAGTAAGAAACAAAGACATGCTTTTTTTTTTTTGCTTGAAATAATCTTGCAATCTGAAGATTAAAATAAAAATATTATTCCATTATAATTAATGTTTGTAGCTTAACATTGGTTGTGGGACAACACATAATAATGGGAATTTTGCCTATTTTGTAGTGTTCAGTTTGATGGCGTTCAGTAGATTCATATGGTTGTCTGAACATCACCATCATCTATCTCTTTGGCAGGAGGGTAGAGACAAGGCCTCCTATGGCCCAGGTTGACTTGAAACACACACACACACACACACACACACACACACACACGATGACCTTGAACTTCTGATCTTCCTGGCTCCACTATCTGATTATAGATGTGACCACAGTGCCAGGCTTCCAAGAACTCCTTTCATCTTCTCCAAGTAAAACTCCATGAGTAACATACTGACTCCACATGTCCCTCCTCCTGGTCCCTCGCCCACCATTCTTCTATTCTGAGTACTTAGTCTAAGCAGAGTTTCTTTGGAGCAAAGCAAGTGTCTCCTTCCACATTCTCACCCTCTCAGTTCTTGTCTTGCCCTTCCTCTGTTCACACGACATTAATCTGGAAGCCAGTTTAGCAGAGGAACACAGTTGGGTCCTTGTGTTTCATGTTTGTTAAATGTTTCTCCTGCATTATTGTTAATATTTTTTCCCTTTTGTCTTTCTCTGTAGTTTTGAGTATTCGGGGAGCCCAAGAAGAGGAGCCCACAGACCCCCAGCTGATGCGACTGGACAATATGCTGCTAGCGGAGGGGGTGGCAGGACCCGAGAAGGGCGGAGGCTCAGCAGCGGCAGCAGCAGCAGCGGCAGCTTCAGGGGGCGCAGGTTCAGACAACTCGGTGGAGCATTCCGATTACAGAGCCAAACTGTCACAGATCAGACAAATCTACCACACAGAGCTGGAGAAGTATGAGCAGGTAACCACACCCCTGCAGAATGAACCTCAAGGTGGCCCTTGGTCCAGCCTTTCCCAGAGGTCAGGGTTTATCGCCCTAGAGCCTTGAATCCTCTCAAGACCCTTGAGTCCCCTGAAGACCCTGGTCTCAACTATTGAAAGCCTAAGCCTTACATAGGGCAAGCCACTAAACAACATGACATTGTAAATGAAGACCTTAAGAAATATGCATGATCAATGTGAGGAATACCCTGGGCCTGGAACTCCAGAACACTTGTGGGATATGGAATGTGTCTAGAGGGACTCCCCGTGTGTGAGTGTACCGGCCATTATCAGAGTTACAACCCGATTGCAGGGGCTGCCGGGCTTCCTTTGGCCTCCACTTGTTTACTTAAGGGTCATTATGCTTCTGAATGCTCCAAGAATCCCACGGAAAGGGACCTGACCTTTCCTCAACTAATGCTGGGATTAGTTGAATCAAATGTGTTCTCGTCTTCATGTGTGGTGTGATACACAGTTCTCTGCATAGGTAGTAGGTCAATCTTAGGAGGCATCCTAGAGTTATACCAACTTCAACTCCAGCCTAAGCATGGACCTGCATACTGTACCCCGGACATGTATGCAGGCATTTGACAGACAACTGTAGATTTGTGAGAGGGATCATGGACACCCTCTGATGGAAAGAATACAGTGACTTTAAGGCACAAAGCAGTGTGCAGAGTTGAGATGCCCTGATGATGATAGAGCTACCCCATTAGGGAAAGCACCTCCTGTCCCCCATACATTTGGAATTCTATATCAGTGTTGTTTTTCCAGCCATTGTGAAAAAGAGTACTATATCAGGAGTCCTTTATCGTCTGACTTTCATTCATTTACTTAGCCAACAAATATATTTGTTGTCACCATTGGCTTCTATACTGAACCCAGGTTCTATATGATGTGGTTTCCCCCCCCCCTTTGAATTAGATTTTTCTTTTACTATTTTAATGACTCAGAGAAAGAAAGAAAGAAAAAAAAAAGCACTCAACTTATGACTGCCTAGGTAGGTGGCAAATGCAAACTTAATAGAACATTTAAATTTTAAAGTAGAAATGGATATTTTAAATTTTAAAGTAGAGAAAATTTCATTATTGCATTCCTGTCCACCTTTGAAATAGAGGATACCCACAAAGTCCACTGTTTCATACATGAGGAATGCTATGCCTCCTTAAGTTAAACATAGTGAAATTCACCCATCAGACAGGTGTAGTCTAGGGCTGAAGGAAGGAAAATAAAACTCAGCATGTTAAGAACTGTGAGTCATTGCCCTGTACCTTCTTGGAAAAGAACACATGTTCTTGACATAATGTTGGCTCAAGGAGACTTGCCTCAGGTCCCAGGCAAGTCTGAGATAAACCCTGCCTAATCCAGGTGGAGGTGCTTTTCCCCACCTGGACCATCCTGAATCTGGACTCTGCCCTAATTTAGTGGGATAACTTCTTGCAGACTCTTCTTATACAGATCTCTGGACAGCCTCTTGGTTCCTCTCATGTGTGCTATTCTTACTTCACCCTCTCCAGAAAGCCTGGCCTCTGCCTAGATACCTGCCTAGACCTGACATCTAGATTAACTCATGTTAGATAAGCAAAGCATGAAAGGAACTCAGAATACAGCTCCCTTTAATCAAACTGCAATGTGTGTTAGACTTGGAGGTGTTGAAAGATGGCTTTATTGTTAGCTTGGGATGCAGATAGCACAAAATTGATTTCTCCATTGATAACCCTGTCCCTCTTCCATCCTCACCTAAAATGGGTGACCACTTGAGCAATAGTAATATGTACTGTTGCAAAACATCAGGACCAATGTAATTGCACTTTTTCATCTACCCATTTTGTTGTTGGATACATAGGACCATATGATGCAGGTGCGATGAAAGAAGTTAAACATGTGTCTGAGGTCACACATCTAGTGAGGAAAAGAGGTTGCCCTGGAGTCCTATTTTGACTCTTTGGCCAAGGGCCAAAAGTCTATACTTCATTTAGGAAAAAGGAAGTATAGACATTGGTTAATGATGAATAACAAGCGTGTCTTTTGCCTCCATGGACTGGACTTACTGGCACCAGACTAGGGATATAAGTGTTCTCTCTAGACATTTCTCATGGATTCCTGCCTATTCTAAATCATAGAGATGTTGGAAATGAAGAACTTAGGGGAAGCCCCACGAGTATGCAGCAAATTATGCAAATGTAGCAGTGGTCGACTTGTCTTGTATATTTATTAGATTTAGGAAGTAAAGCATCATGTCTCCTTATTTATGTGGGCAGTTTCTGGGTGAGAAGTGAATTCTGCTTAACACATTTTGGATGCTTAACACTTTATTAAAATTAGTTTGTTAATTATAATAAATAGCTGCTTGTGAGGTGATGGCGCTGTTAACCTTTTAGCTGGTATGTCTGAGAGATCCATCTTCTTCATTTTTCTGCAACAGTTCCTCGTGGGGGCTTTGTTAAATGTAGGGAAACTCAGTCAAGTAAAATGCCACCCTCCTTGTTCGTACTTGTTACTGTCAATTTTGCTGTCTTTGTTTTGTTCTTTATATATTGATAACAGATAACCACAGGATAATTAACTACCTTTCACCCCCAGCCCTCCAAATAAACCCAACTGAACAAGCTACTATTTTATCCCAAGGTTATTAAATAAGGAAGCTTCTAGAAACTTTCATCATTATTAAATGACAATGATAAAAGGCTTCTGTAGCAGATCATGTTGGTGGCTAAGATAGTTAAAAGCTGACATATTCAAATTTAAAAACCATGGTTTCAGAAAAACCCAATCCTATTCCAAGTGCTGTTTATAAAAATGACCCTCTTGTTGCTTTGAGGAGTTCTTCATCTTTTATAAACCTTGTCCCTGGAGCATAAATAGCCAGTATTGAACTGGGGTGGAATAATTCAGTTCACAACTAAGGGGGCTCTTGGATTCCTCTTACCTTTTGTGAGGGAGACTGGCACCACACTCAGTTGGAAGGAGACAGGAAGAAGATGGATTGTATCACATGCAGGATGTCAGCCAAAATCTGGATTTTTGAGGCTCCCTACGTGGACTTCTCTGTAGTCTATTGGGACTTCAGATACCCTTGGGCAGCCTACTTGGGAGATCTTTGTAGAGATCTCCCTGCCCCCCAAAGTGGCTCAAGCTCTTCATCATGGTTGCCTGTAATAGTCCACAGTAGAGACCATCGGACTTTAAGGATTTTATTGTCTTTTCCTCAAATATGTACCCTACTGCCACACAGTGAGCACTCGACCTAATAGAAGCAGCCCAGCTTCTGCCATTGTCATGGTGGGGAACTGAAGGCTCACTGTAGACATTTCAGGTCCTGGAAGAATCTGGACCGTTATGTCCTGTCCATCTAGAACAAGCTCAGAAACTTTGAACCTCAGTTGTGTGTTCTCCCAGCTTTTTAGCAGCTGCTTTGCTCTGCCTCAGCAGCTGGTGGAAGACTCCACTACTGCTCATTGCGAAACATAAAAGACCCTGGAATGAAATGCCCCAACTAAACACCAGATATTGTGAGTATTTTGATTCACCGTAATGAAACATATTATTATTAGCCAAGCACTATGGTTTTCCAGCTGAGAACTGGTACGTTTTTGATAAAACTTCCTTTCCTGCAGCTCCTGCTCCCTGCCAAACCCCTAGAGGTGGTGATACTGCAGCCCAGCAGATTGCTTTGTTTCCTCGGAAAGATGGCTGTGGGCTTGCTAAGAGCATAGTCTTCGCTCTACTTTATGTGATGTGACAGGGGCCTGGGAATTCTTGCTAGCTCACTGCCAGGTTTTAATTCCCCGTTTACGTGGTACAGTTCCAGAGCCTGGGTTTGGCTTGGGAGTGAGAGTGTAACAAACTCATGTCTTGATAACACTTTTTCTGAATGGAGACACTATGTAGACCTATTCATGGCTTTTTCTTCAACATATTCCTACAGAATAGCGGGGGAGGTGGGATTTATTGTTGCATTTATTTTACCAAGACAGAAATGAAGCCTGCAGAAGTTTTCTCTATCAGGATATTATGGTGGGTTTCTAAGTTACCTCTGTATTTATTTACTTAATTTTATATTTAGATGTTTTACCTGAATGTCTGTAAGTACACCACACATATACAGTGCCCAAGGAGCCCAGAAAAAAAAATGTATCAGATCCCCTGGATCTGGAGCTACAGATGGTTGTGAGCTGCCATGTGGGTGCTGAAAACTAAACCTAGGTCATCGGCAAGCAGTAAATATTCTTAGCTGCTAAATGATCTCTCCAGCCCCTAAGTTACCAATGTTTTGAAGCCACAATGAAGACACATATTTGTTGGCTCATGTATGCATTGCACACATAGTAACTCTGCAGGTCTCTGCTGAACCCTCTTAGGTAGGGGTCATCCCAGCTTACAAAAGGAAAGAAACACAGATACATTAAAGAACTTCCCCAGATCCCACTACTGAGTAAGTCCTGGCAGGGATCCAGGCAGTCTGTCTCTCAGCCCATTTCCTGGTCCATTCAAACGATCGCTTCTGCATTTAGGACTCTATGCACAAAAACATGGGTACCATTTAATGTGTTAGAGGGTTAGAGAATAATTAAATATCCCAGATGGATAAAATGTGCCTTTTGATAATTCAAGAATTTGCATAAATATTCATAGGGGCAGGGTTCAAAGCAGGCCTCCCACTGTGGAGTTCAGATGCCACCCTGTGGATGGCTCTGCCCATGTTCCTTTGGTCATCCAACCTCAAAGAATGCTTCAATAAATAGCCTGTGAGTGTGGGCTCCTGTTATTGCTCTGCATTATTGACACATATGAAGAGCTTTATGTTATAAAAACACAGTAATACAATGTTGTCAGTAACAAGCATGTTTCTACTCTTCATATTATACTTGGAGTCCTTTGAGTCCTGAGTTTGAAGTTCTCAAAGCACCATCTTGCTCTTTTCTTTACAAATCTAAAACAGTTTTACAGCATTGCTGTGAGTTAATCGATGAACAGATATTTTATTGAGTGTTCAGCTAATGAAACTAGACTATGGATGTTAAGTAATAATAACTTAATACACTTAAGAGGGTAGCAGTTTCTCAAAGAGTGAGTTCAAGCGCCGAATTCCCAGGCTCACAAGTGATAGGAAGCATTTGGGTCACACTTTGGTCCTTTCATGCCTCCCGTGTGCCTTTGGGAAAATCCCTTCATCCCTTTGGATCACATTTTCCCGACTGGAAAACAACAAAATGAAGAAGTTAGATTTCCACTTTGACTTCCATAGCTGGCTAATAGTCTACTCCTACAAGGGTGGATGCTAGACCCTCTAACTCACATTGGATGCTTGGTTTATAAGCTTCATGGGGATAGATTCCCCTGTGTTGTAGACTAGGCATGGGGGTGGTGTGGCTTCTTTAGATAAAATTCAAAGCTTACTAATGAGAAATTTCTGTTAAGACTTTGCCAGAGCTTTTTGATTTTGTGGTTCTGCTTAAACTCTCGGCTGTTTACATATCCCAAAATTGAATATTTGGAAGCCCTACCATGTCAGGGATAATGAGCAAGGCAGAGAAAGCTAGCTCATGATGTGTTTGACCCAAAGTCTCTCAGCTCTTAACATAGGGGCAAAAGGCAGAGATGGATGTTAAGTATCGCCCCTTTCACTGTCATAAAATCATAGGGAAAAATGTTAAAATGATTCAAAATTTTATTTTTCCCTTAAGAAGTTGAAGCCAGAGCCAAAATGTAGAGCTAGATCCACTGGGAATAAAAGGAATTTCCAGACAATCATTTATTCTAGCTACCAGATTTGATAAAATGCCATAAAATCTTCTAGTTTTCTTCACTTGTACAAGTCTTTAGACAAGCACCCCAGCTGCATGTTGTGAACCCTGCTTGCTAAGCTATGAACTTCAGCTCAACCATGTTCACTGTGTTGCTCCACAGGCATGCAATGAATTCACCACCCACGTGATGAACCTCCTTCGAGAGCAAAGCAGGACCAGGCCCATCTCCCCGAAGGAAATTGAGCGGATGGTCAGCATCATCCACCGCAAATTCAGCTCCATCCAGATGCAGCTCAAGCAGAGCACGTGTGAGGCAGTCATGATCCTGCGCTCCCGGTTTCTGGATGCAAGGTGAGCCTCTGGGTTGTCTCGAAAGGTTACCAGGAGCATCTTCAAAGAGAAACTCAATGCAGCAGGGTAGGGAGTCATGAGTTGGCCTTCTCTGAAGCTCCAATTCTACTACTTTGGGTGCTGATCCAAACACTAATCTGAGTGCAGTACTAGGTGTGAGGAACACAGGCTGGGAAACAGGATAGACCATGGTTTCATATGGAGCTGGGGGGGGGGGGAAATCCATGATTGCAGGGGACAATGTTTATTGCTATTCCACTCTGGGTGAGCGGCACTGGTAATAATGACAGGCTAGGCAGGATTTTTTGTTGTTGTTGTTGCTGTTGTTAGGGACAGATCATAGCTATATGCTCATTGTCACTTTACCAGCAGACCATGGTGACACTTCCTCCAAGAAGGCTGCCTCTAAGTGCTTGAAAGCTGGGGTCTTTCCCATAGTGTATAGACAGAGAGCGTACACCATCAAATATAAGAAGTATTTCTTGGTAAATTACTATGCATTCTACTGTGGGCTGCTTAAGAAGTTCAAAGTTGAGCACCACAAGCTTCTCTGAGCATAGAGAGGCAAGAAGGTAGCTTGATAGGGACTCCATTGGTTGGTTTGATGTTTCCTATCTGGCTTTGGTGTTGCTCATGACCTTATTTATGAATTCAAAATATTTTTTTTTTTTTTTACAAAAACAGGGCTAGAATGGTCCTTTAAAAAATGCATGAGATCTGAAAACAAATGACTAAGAACCAGTTCTTAATTCTCCTACTCGTAGACCAATGGATTTACTTGAGCCCTTGGCTTCTCTTCTCAAACCTCAGAGAGAGTGATAATCAGATTTTACGTTTATCTAGAAGATTTTGGGTAACTGGTCTACCAAATGCTTCTTACGTTGTAGGTGTGCCTAGTAATCCACAGTTCATCTTGAATTAGTCATCTTTTGTACTGTACCATTCCTGTAAACATTCCCAAGGTACGGCTTTTATTATCGAATGTTAGGATGTCATGGTCAGCATACTATTTCACGATATATATGGTTTTGTTCCTTTTGAATCAGACTGAAAGATTCATGGCTATTCCAGGATTGCTTTCCTCTCTGATATCATGCATTATTCAGCTCTCCGACCTGCATTTTCTCTCTCTTCACAGTACTAGTCTTTTGTGGTCTATGAACCTATTTAAAAGTCCCCAGCATCTTCTCCCACCTCCTCCTTTTCAATGTGCTTTTGGATTGCATGAGATACAAAATGAGAATGCCAGCCTGGAAGCTACACCTCTAGGTTAATAGAATCCCATAGTCAAGAGAAGGTAAAAGAGGGGACGAGGCTGGAGAGATGGCTTGGCAATTAAGATCACAAACTGCACCAGCAGAGGATCTGAGTTCAGTTCCCAGTAAGTTCATCAAGGGCAGCTTGTAACAGCCCCTAACTTAAGCTGTAGGGGAGCCAAAGCCCTCCTCTACTGCCACAGGCATACAGGCACTATCTCCTACCCCAACATATACATATACTCAAAATTAAAAATCAAAATTAAATCTTGAAAAAAAGAAAGGCTTACTATCTGGATGTAGGGATAAATAGTAGGCAAAACCAATCCCACCCCAACCCCCCCAGCAGGACCCTCTGTGTCTCTTATCCAGTGGCCTGCTGCCAGTGTGCTTTCTCTAATGCAGCCATTCTGCACAATGTGAGAGTCTGGTGGCTTCCGTCTTGGTCCTTCTTGTATGTAAGAGCCACCACCACCACACTGCATGTGTTGCTTATATCCCCATGGTAACTTCCTTAATTAAAATGCTGCAGTTGCTATTTACGATGGCAGAGCAAAGGGAGGGGGTGCATAAAAAAGAAAGAAATAGAAGAAGAAAAGGAAAGAAAAGTTGGGACCAGACTGTATTGTTGTTGTTGTTGTTTCTTTGGTTGGGGTTTTGTTTGTTTTTATTTTGTTGTTGTTATTGTTGAAGAGAGAAACGGGAGAAATGAGCAAAACAGACCCATTGTCCATATGGGTTTCTCTTCGCATCCCTCCCGTTGTGCCCACTTGGAGTTCTGGTTCTAAAAGGACAAAGGACTAGATATGTCTGTACACACTTCTTTCTCTTCCACTGGCCTGTACCTAGAGTCTTCTGTTTGGAACCAGAAGGACAGTCAGTCTAAGGCAGGGTCTCTTTCTTACTTGAGTAAGAAACCTTCAAATCACCACATCTGTACCAAAATTCTAAACAAAAGCAGCCACCCTTTAGTCACTGGTGGTCTCATCTTGTTGTATAACTGTATTTGTCAGAAAAAATGCCACCCCGTATGTCAGCCGGTGTGAAGCAAATAACTTTCCCAGCTTGCAAATACATGTTTGCCCAATCCTCCTGGTTAAGGAACTTACCTTATCTTTTACCAGTAATTGTAGGAGAGAGCTAAACCAACCCCCGTGAGAGAGAGATTCAGCACATGACCCCCATCCTACACCCCCAAACCGTGTGTCTGATGGGCAGGGCCTCATCAAATAAGATTTCATGGAAGACAAATGAAATACAAAGAGGACTTAATTCAGTAATAGGATTAGTCTTTGTAGTCTAATAGGTGTGTAGAAATGAATGTTACTCTCCTTTATGGTGGGACATGCCTCCTATTAGCTTTCAATGGCTGTGTCCAGATTACCACACTTTTAGCAGTTTAAAACTGTATATGTTTATTGCCTTGCAGTTCCTATTGGCCTACAGTTTGGGCATAGCTCAGCCAAAGCTTCCACCGAGTTATCTACAGAGGCTGTGACTATATCTGAAGTTTAGGTTCAAGAAACTCCCTGTTCTCTGTGGGATTTAGAGAGCTCTGGTTGGTGGAGGTCACCCCTCTCTAGAAGCATTTCACAATCTTACCACTTACTTTCTTCCTGGTAGCTTGCAGAACAAACTCTCATTGTTAAAACTTTGATCTAGTCACAAGGTGAAACCCCATTGTGGTCACCATCCCAGTCACTTGAAGGAGAAGGTATCATATACACCAGGGTCAGGGGACTTAAGAGTCCCACTCACTGGTCATATCAGCTGAGCTCTTAGCCCAGATATCTCCAACTCAGGTTATAACCTTTCTCCTTATCTTACATTGATGTAAGTATGCCAGCAAAGTTAAACTTCAAATTCCACTTATTCATTTTTATCTCATACTATGCATGTCATGCTGTGCGCTTTCCATCTTGGTTAGTTTATTCAGCATTACACACTGTGTTTCTCTGAAAGAGACTAAAAGGGGAGAGCGTTTTTAAACATCTAGTGGTTTTGAAAATAAGTTGGAAAAGTGGTTTTTTTCCAATAGTACTTAGTTGGAGTTTGTAATAGTAATGCAAGTGCTTAAAGATTTACCCTTGAACTGTGCCCTTAGTTACCAAAACCAGATCCAAAGCAAAGGAAAAGACGTCAGTAAAGTACAGGAAAACTGACCCTATATTAAGAGTTATTTATGTATCTAATTAGACTCCTGGTATTGCCAGATGGTGTTTTGCTACTAGAATAGCAAATATAATATATAAATATGGGTCCTACATATTTCTCATAGTTCATGATCTCATGGGCAGACCCTTGCAGATAAATCTTAGAACTGCATGTTATCCCTAAGAATATCTACCTACTAACTCCATCAAAAGGGAAACGATCCAGGAAACTGAAGACATTTTGCATTTTAGAAGAGAAGGATGCTGGTGAGACAGATGGAGTAACATGAGCAACAGATCATCCTCACTCAACTTCAGCAGCTTTACCTACCCAAGAGCTTACTATGTGTTAGACACAAGGTTTCAAATATGAGTGAAATATGGTTCCTGCCCTTGAGGAATTTGCGTTTTAACTGCCTATTTGTAAGCTGTGGCAAACACTGTGAGAGAGAAACATACTAGGCTGTCTGAAGAGGTAGAAAACCTACCTGCAAGCCACAGGGCCTTTGGCTAATGAGGACATGTATGATGTTGCTGGACAGAATGATGTAACAGTGTATATAGAGTTGGGGAAAATGAGAACCAAAGAGTAGGATAGATACACTGAAGACCTTAGCTGTACCAGGGAAATTTTGAATCCCTCCATTTAAGGAGCAGGGTTGTTTCGGGAAGGGTTGTGAGAAAGTCTTGTACAAACTCTTTAACTCCACTGGATTCAACCTCTGGCTACAGTGTAAATGGCCTATGTGATCATGGACAAGTGGTATATCATCCCCAAAACTCAGTTTTTGTATTTATAAAATGGGGAAGATTCTGTACATGAGAATGTGTAAGGTTAATATGAACAATAAATATAGTATCTGGCGCATAATGCACATTCTGTAATTACAGTATAGTGCTCATAGGAATCCCCAGGCCACCCGTTATGTATATTTGTATTTAACAAATAAAAATATTATCTTCTTTGTTTCATGACTAAATATAACTTATATAACAATATATTTATAGATAACTTCAGTATATATTACCCATTTTATATCTTTTTGGTATCAGAAGAGAGTGTTGGTTTAGGAAGGTTGCTATAGGGATCCTGCTGAGGAAATGCTAACCTGGAAGTCTAATGTGAGCCACTGCTGGCCTCTCTGGCCCAGCACAACCAAAGGAGGGAATATGGTCCTCAGGGATTTGTTCTTGTTTGAAGATAAAATGGCTATCTTATAGAGCAGAAACAATCAGTGGGTTTCGTGGTCCTCCAGCGTTTCTGCACTCTCCTAAACTCTCCTCTCTTTAATGATGGTTGTATGAGCCTGGTGTTTGGCAACATCCATCTAAAGGTACATGTATACTTTATGGCCATTTGGCTCTGAATTAAAATATAAAATCAGGATGTGAACTTTTTTCTTTTTAATGTTCTTTAGCTCTACTAGCCACATATCAGGTGCATGGTGTCCTCAGGTCACTATGGCTACTTTATTGGATAACACAAACATAGAACATTCCGTCATCACAAAAACACCACTTGACATTGTTAGTCGGCAGTGCTGTGATACATACTGGCTCATCTAAACCATTCAAAAATAGCAGTGGCATCAGGAGTGGAACAAAGGGATAGATGTGAAAGATCAGCACTCTCCAGACCGGTTGTGGGACCATGACCAGATAGATGAGGGTACGCGTGCACAAAGAGGGAATCCGTGCTTCTCATTATCATGGTTCTTGTAGAAAAAAAAAAATTTCCCATGGGCCACAACCAGACTGCCATCTGTCTTAAAAATACTGTAACAGTCAATGAGCATCCACATTTTATTACATTAAAAGCCAAGATCCTGGTGGAGAGAGATGGCCCAACAATTAAAAAATACTTATCTGTAACCATCCGTAACAGAAGCTCTAATATCCTCTTCTGGCAGTACGTATACATGGTGCATAGACATATGCAGGCAAAATTGCCTATACACTATAACACTATACATCTCCATCTCTCTCCCTTCCTCCCTCTCTCTCTTCCTCTCCCCCCCACCACACCCCTCAGTGATCACTGCTTCTGATTGGTTAGAGATCTCCAATATCAACCCACCAGTCAGTACCACTAAAGCAAGGAAAGCAGTTGTCTGGACTCTCAACATTACCTTCAGACACAAGTTATTTTCACAACCTTTCCTAAAGCTCTGAAGAAATCTGATCATGGAATTTCAGAGACCGATTAAGACAGCTACTGAGAGAAGTGATAAGAGAGTCCACCTGAGTAGAAGAGACCACCTAGGGATAATCACACATTATGATGACACCCGAGAGCCAGCAACAGCTGTCTGCATTGCCCCTACACCAGGAGCTCATTCCAGAGAGTTTTCCTTTGAGCTCAGTTGGAAGACTCCCAAAAAATACATTGTAATGCTAATTGCAAATAATGGGCTGAAGACCTGGGGTTCTCCCAGCCACAGAAGCAGCCCAGGTCCAGTTCACCAGGCCTAAAACGACTATCTGTAAGAAAAAAATAGCCAGAAGTTCTTTAAAGGCAAACCCAGAGAGGGCACATTAACCGCTGGGCCACCTTCCTCGAATTTCCTTTACGCAAGGACTTTCCACACATGCCTCTTTTGTCTTCGGGCTTCTAAATCCAATCTGTCCAATTTCTGATGCTGGATGACCCAGAAACTCAGCATGATTTGGGAGAGTGACTTGAGCTTGGCATAATCTGGACAGATGTGGTTAGTACCTGTAGGCAGATGGTGTTCATCCGGCAAAATCAGGTACTTTATTGTGTTAATTAATCCAAGAGGGACACTGAAAAATACAATATTAGCTGAATTTCCAGTCTATCAAGGCCACCAGTGCTTTCTGTTGGCTAAATTTGGAAAGTCTATGTCCTGGCTTAACCAAAGATGTTCTGGAATTCTTTTCCTTGAGAACTAGCTTTGAAAAAGGCAAGGCAGGTAAATGTGCTAATAGAGGGAATTTAAAGATTAAGGCCTTACCCACTTCAAAGAGGGGCGACCAGGCCTACAAAGAGCCCAGAGTCTTCTAAGAGACTATCCAGCTATCCACAGGCCTTAGTGGTAAGACAGCAATAAAGTGATTCTCTCTTGAAATTTGTTCAATTAGCACTCTCCCCCCCCCAACCCCCTTTGAGGCAGAAAAGTGCTTTTATGAAAAGAAAAATGGTCTTCTTCCTTTTGGCAACCTGTGTATGAAGGGGAATTCTGTGAGGTTTTGTTTTACCATTTAGCAGTTGTTCCTGCTGAAGAAATGCCATCTCTCTCTGGTTGAGGGAGGTCAAACAGTCAGAGGGTTAATCTCAGTCAGTTTCTTGCCCTCTTCCCCAGATGGCTTTTTAAACTATTGGATGCATTTGCATGGGGATAGAAATGAGAGAAAATGATAACTTATTTTTAACTCGGGGCTACAGATCCTCTGTGTTGCTGCCAGGAGGCAGTGTGTATAGAAGAAAGAGACTGGGTTGGATGCCAGGCAGACCTGAACTATCTCTGTAGCATACCTGCTGAGTGACTTAGAACACCATACTTCCTCTTTGAATAAGAATAATCCCATCTACCTCACAAGTGGGGTAGACAGCTTGAGTTCATTCACATGAAGGAAAGGCTTGGTGTGCAACACTGAGTCTGGAGTTTTTCGGTGTCATATGTTTCACCGAGTATGCTCTTTGTATGGTCCTTGTGTGCTGCCTAGGAGCTCTTTACATTCAGTTGAAGAAGCCAATCCTTAGGGAGATCCCCCACAGTCACCCAGGTGATATCTAGCTGGTCTAGGATTCAAACCCAAGGTGGCTGAATGTACAGATAGGCTTGGTTCTCTTCTTTGGTGCATATGAAACAGAGAAGCGTCATGCTTAGTGATTCGGGCATCCAGCCCCTTTTGCAAATTTCCTTAAACTTACCCTTAGCCCAAAAATGTATCTTCCAGAAGTAGATCTTGTTCTGTTTATCTAACACAGCCTTTCTTACCCCTCCCCCTTTCTCCTTATGAAGGCGGAAGAGACGGAATTTCAACAAGCAAGCCACAGAAATCCTGAATGAATATTTCTATTCCCATCTCAGCAACCCTTACCCCAGTGAGGAAGCCAAAGAGGAATTAGCCAAGAAGTGTGGCATCACAGTCTCCCAGGTGAGGAACTCGTGGAAGAGCCAGCTTGTAGCCTGGCCTGATGGAGCCTCATGCTGGGGTCTTGGAGGTTTTTTTATTGGACATTCAGGTTTTGTACATTCCACCAGTGAAACCCTTAAAGGGAAAAGGTAAGCTCTTAATGTTTGTGAGACAGTTTCCAAGTGAGTCAACAGGTCCAAAGGAAATCAACAAAGGAAGAGAAAAATTAGAAAGCAGTGCAAGAAGAGGGATGGGCTCCCTCTGGATGGATGTCTTAGTGTTTCTGTTGCCGTGAAGAGCAACCATGAGCACAGCAGTTCTCATAAAGGAAAACATTTAATTGGGTAGCTTACAATTTCAGAGGTTTAGTCCTTTGCCATCATAGTGGGAAGCATAGTGGCATGTAGGCAGACATAATGCTAGAGAGGTAACTGAGAGTTCCACATCTTGATCCTCAAGCAACAGGAAGTGAACTGTCTACCACACTAAATGTAGACTGAGCAAGGAAAACTCAAAGCCCATCCCCACAGTAACACAAGTCCCTCTACAAGGCCACACCCACTCTAACAAAGCCACACCTCCTAATAGTACCACTCCCTTTAAGGGCCATTTTTTTTTTTCAAACCACCACAATGAATAACATTTATTACACAATGGCTGAATCTTCCATGCTGTTTCTTCCAACATAGGCAATGCCTTAGCATTTTACTCCCAACCCAGGAACTTTTATAAGAGTCAATGAACCAAACTGTTTGAATGAAAGGATTGTAAATGCTTTCTCTTGACGTTCTACCAACTGATTGGGAGAAGGAATTTAGCATGCCACTCTTATTACATTGGAATGGTTTCACAAAATGTCACTGAGTGCCCATTTCCTCCAACATATATGAACTGTAACTGGTGCCTACTGACTTGGAAAGATACGTGATGCTAAAATTATATAGATGTGGGATCTCTAACATTAACGTGAAAAGCAAAGCAAGTGGTATTATTATTGAACCTTTGCCTCAGAATAAAAAAGCATGAGAAAAAATAATATGTTCCTATAGACTTAAAAAGTAGACTTCCTTACAGTAGTGACTGTCCTTGGGAGGATCCACTTAGATAACACAGACTGCATATAGACTTTTTAACCCAGCCCTTTGGTGAGGCTTCTGTGACCTAGCTGATGGTCGTTTTCAAAATTAACAGTTAAGCAAAGTAGGACCCAAATATTCAAACTCAAGTAGCCTAGCCTAGTGTTTTTCTAGGAATTTAGACATTTTTGTCTAAAGTTTTATCTCTTGTGAATAGTGAGGGGCAGATGGGAGATGATGCTCTTTGCTACTAGTGAAGTATATGAGGAATGGTTTTAAGGCATGAACCACACCACTAAGTCACAGATCAGTAGGTTTTAGTCCTCTACTTCCAAGGCAGAGTTAAACCACTCCTTGGATTCCAGATTTCAAGTTTATTTAGAAAGGAGGAAGAATACTCCAGAGCCAAGCAAGATCACAGCTAATGGTGCTGGCCTGCTCTAGCAACCTCTACCTTCTTTAGCATGGAAACTCAAGTGGTGAATACTTTGTTCACCAAAAGAAGTATTTATATGCTATGTCTCCTTTCTCTTTCTCCCACCTAACCTAAGGCCATGCCTGTCTCTCTCTGTCTCTCTCGTACACACACACACACACACACACACACACACACACACACACATCATCATCATCATCATCATCATCACTACTACTACCACTACCTCAATAACAATAGTTAGTCTAATCTGCTCAACATTTCCAGGCAAATCCTGGTGGGAAACAAGTTACCTTTTGTAGAATAATAGGATAGGAGCTCGTTTTTTGTCAAAGGTGTGGGGTTCTTGGGGATTTGCTCTTACTTTTGAAGAGTATTTGTGACACCACTTACCTATTGTGTCTTGTTGGAACATACATATTAAAGTTGTGTCAGTTCCCCAGATCTAGTGAAGTATTAAGTTTCTTTATGAGGTGGATGCTCAATAACCACCCTTTTTAGTATTAGACTCATGGGATCCATCTTCCCATCTTGGTTTCTTGGTACTAATATCCTAAGACTTCCTCTCTTCCCCTGAGCCAGCCTCGCTCCATCTTTTGAAGTCTACTCTTTTGGTACTAATATCCTAAAACTTCCTCTCTTCCCCTGAGCCAGCCTCATTCCATCTTTTGAAGTCTACTCACTTCTGTTCTTAGTTTCATCAGTACATGCTCCAGTCAGTGGACCTTTATCATCCATTTTTAGTCACTTCTTTTGTCTTGTACTAAAAAGCTATTGGTTTCTCTCATGACCCCAATAAAAAGAGGCTCACATACCTAATTCCATGGGAAATGCCTCTAATGACTATCTTTTTCCTAGGGTCCCCAAAAGGCCCTCCTTCCACATGAGTACTATTCAGAGTGTGGTGTTGGTTTTTGTTTTTTATTGTTTTGTTTTGTTTTCTCTCCGAATGCCTATCATCCAGTTCCCAAATAAATACATGGAGACTTATTCTTACATGAATGTCCAGACTTAGCTTTGCTTTTCTTAAATTATCCATATACCTTTTGCTTCTGGGCTTTTACCTTTCTTTATTCTGTATACCTTTCTTTACTTCTTACTCTGTGCCTAGCTTTGTAGGGTGGCTGGCCCCTGGTGTCCTTCTCTCCTTCTCCTTTTCTAGCTTCTCTCTCTTCTTATTCTTTTAATTATTTTCTCTTCCTGGCAGCCCCACCTATCCCTCTCCTGCCTAGCTATTGGCAGTTCAGCTCTTTATTAGACCAATCAGGTGTTTAGAAAGGCAAAATAACACAGCTTTACGTATTTAAACAAAAGCAACCTAAGAGAATGCAACACATCTTTGCATCATTAAACAAATATTCTGCATCATAAACAAATGTAAGTTATCTTCAACTAACATTCCACAACAGTGTGATCCTCAAGCAGAAACAGCAGGAGCAACAACAACACATCACCTGTGAGCTGAAAGAAGCTCACAGTGTTATACCTGCCCTAGATCCAAATCTTCACGAATAGTTCCCAGAATCTGTTTTCACAAGCCATCTGTGAATACTTAAGTCTGGAAAGCACCATTCCACACACTTCTTGCTACAAATGTAACTCCATTTGAATAGCCAGATGGGGCTTTTGTCCCGGAACACTAAACTCATGTATCTCACTTCCCACTGGATTTTGTCATGGCTCTGCCCATAGGCTCTTGAAACATAACATGCTTGAGATGTAAATCAAACATTCCCCACAAAGCCTATTATTCTTTCTGCTTTGCCTGACTCATGCTACCACATCCATATGTATCCCTAGTGCTTGCTTGACACATTAGGCCTTTAGTCTATGACAGTTGAGTATTAATTAATGAAACACCGACTCTCCATATTATCTGAGATAGATGATACCACTATGTAGACACTGTGGGAAATGCCTGAGCCTACCAACATCTTCCCAATCCCATCTCTTCTCATGTAAATAGGAAATCTTTCCCACAACACATCCTTCACACACTTCTTTGTTTCTTGTTTGTCCACAAATAACCAGTCCTGGACCCGGGTCATTTCCTTTCTTCCTAGAAGGTCATCTTAAACTACCTCCATCTTTCCCTCTTTTTTCCAGTTGGTTCTGTGAAAATGTCTCTACCTTTTCCTTCCTTCCCTGTTGCACACAGAAATCAATAAACAATGATAATCATGATTGATTCATATGAACAATGAAATTCAGATTAGGAGAAATTTTAATTTCCAAGTTCAATTCCATGTGCCATGGTCCTGAATTGTTCTCAGAAGCATCCTTCCTCCTCCAGTTTAGCTCTGCTTTTCTTCATTTGCAACAAATAAAGTGGCTTATTATTGAAATTTTTCTCTCTTGTTTACTAATATTGTACTGGAATATCTTGATTTTTGTAATAAAGACTTGGCATTTCTGATATAGTATAAGCCACACAGGCCTTTGACTATTAGCTAGCCTAATAAGATATGTTAACTTTGTAAATGCATTAAAAAATAAGTGTAGTTTTACCTTACAATTTCTTTATCTGCCCTTCATTGTTGCTGGGAGATTGAGTGTGAATTATCTATGAGGTATATTTGTTACATGTGTGATCAATTTGCTCATCCTCATCATAATCTATTTTGTAGTTAAATAAAATTCACAATACTTTAACCCAAATTCACAATGAAATATGGGTTGTTATTAGGTATTCCTCTCCAAGGCAGAAATTGTGGGTGAACGTCAATATGTGCCCCAGCTCCTTTGTGGTAGAAGTTTTTGTATAAATGGGGAAGAAGTACCAACTTGAGCCAAGACAGCTGCTGTGAGCTACAGGAAGGAAATAAATGAATAAACGAAAGTAAATTAGGTTTATTGTGTTCATTGGCTTTAACAATTAAAAGCAGGAATTCAAAGTAATAATTAGTTGTATGCATCAGTTTTTTCCCCCATACATAAGACCAAGCTTTGTACAAGACAGTGGGTGAAACTATGCTGATAAAGTCTATAGCACAATACAGCTAAAAATCAAAGTTCATATTAAGGTCATTTAACTTCTAAACATTCCAAATTAATGTATGTATGGAAGCATCCATAAGTTGGTATAGATTTATGTGAGTATTTTAAAGGTCTGTGTTTAAAGGTCTGATTGTGCAATGTCAGCTTTAGCTTTGCTTTGAAAAAGAACAAACATTTCTCCTAATATGTTTATTTAAATGTCATAAATTAGGAACTAAGGAAATTGAAAATACTTGTTCTAACTCAAGAGTCCTACTTCAGCAAGCTTCCATAGGAGAGTTGTTGTAATAGTGATCTTGTGGGATTTTAGAGAACCCATATTAGATCATTGGTCTTTTTCAGAATCTTACTTTACGTCAAGGCTTTTAATTAATATTAGAGAAGTCATGAGTAAGGTCAAAGTATTCCAGCCAGGACCACAACCCCACCCCCATCCCTTTCTAGATTCCTCTGTTTCTCTGCAATGTCTTCTGAAGGGTGAAATGCTAATTCTCTCATCATCTCTCCTGCTGCTTTAGGTATCAAACTGGTTTGGAAATAAGCGAATCCGGTACAAGAAGAACATAGGTAAATTTCAAGAGGAAGCCAATATTTATGCTGCCAAAACGGCTGTCACTGCCACCAATGTGTCAGCCCATGGAAGCCAAGCTAACTCGCCCTCCACTCCCAACTCAGCGGGTTAGTTTCTTCTTTGATTTGGGGGATTGTTCTCCATTTGTATGTTTGTTTTTCCTACTTTGAGACTTTGTTTTAATTCTTACCGTTTTTTTTGGTTCATCAGTTCATACATCCAGTTAACATTTGTTGTCAGTGACACTTTTGGGTTCTTCTTGTCATATCCAAATGACAATGCGTTTATAAGATGGGGCTGTCTGCAAGTTTGTGTTGTAATACATCCGTTTATCTTTAAATGGAGTACATTGTTTGGTTTTGATGAGTCCTCTAAACTCACAGATAAAGCTTAATACTTAGAGGTGGTTCCTTTGGGTTCTCATATGATATTTTTATCCTTGTTTGTCTTACTGTCCCCATAGTATAATGTCTGGTTCATCTGCCAGCATACATTCTATGCAGGAATGTTCACTCTTCCAACAAAGATCTCATTAGCCAATTCCAGTCAGCAGAGCCAGGCTACAATATTTTCTTGGTAATGTTTAGAGATACTATTCCCTGTTGTTTTATTTTGTTGATTTTCTTTATGCAAACTATGAGGAAAATCATAAGCTGTTAATTCAGACCTTCCAGACTCCAGGATTATAATCTGAATCATGTACCCTAGTCTAAGTTTTATTTTCACAAGCATGCATTGTACCACTAAAGTCAGACTTTAGGTTAACATAGAAGTACATTTTGGGAAATGCCCTGTGCTGTCACTTCTGTATTTCTGTGATGCAAATAAAAAGTCAGTAATATATGCAGTAAAACCTTCATGTTTGTATGCTGTAGAAAATGTGTTGCTACTTCTAGTGAAGGGGAAAACAAACATTTCCTTGTGAACTATGCTTAGTACCAGAAGTCATCCTTCTCCCTTACAGACAAAATACATTTATTTGGAATGTAGAGTGCCTTCTAAGTCTGATGATACCAGTAATACACTAGCAAATCTAGTTATATCAAATCATAATATGGTTGCAAATCTGGGCTTTCTGCGATTTCTATGCGTATATTGTGACTGCAGCCTCACAGACTAGTTGTTCCCTAAAGAGGGTCTTCCTGCCATATGCTGCCTTTGTAACTGGGTACCAGTAGGACCCCACTCTCTTGTCTTCTGTGAGCTTCTCCTTGCACTAATTCATCATCATCAGGTTCTCCATGTCCCTGGGCTATAACTACCAGAGCCTTCTTTTCTTCAATTGGAATCATGCATGAAGAGAGCCATTGGCCTTGTAAACATGGCTGCCATAAGACATTGTTAAATTTGATCTAGTTTTATGTTTCTTGGACATGCAGGTTGACCTACCCTGAAGAATACATTTGCTTTTGAAAGTTCTGTTGGTTTTGTTGTTTCTGTTGGCTGTTGTTATTCTTCCTCGTCATGGTGTGATTGATAAAAGATCCAGGCTAACGGGTTCAATAACCACAGTTTCCTCCTTCCCTATCGGGTCGATTATTAAAGATTTCATACCAAGCATCACAAGGTGAACTGCACTGCCAGGCAGGCATTCTCACTTATCTCTTAGGAAGAAGTATAATTCTGTCAATATTAGCAAAAATGCACTCAACACTCCTGCAGAGGTTATCATAATGCAAAACAGATATCAAAATGACTTTTTTTCCCTGTCCCCGCTATATCTGTACCACAGATGGCTTAGCATGATTTATGACTAGTCCTTAGAAAGGCCCTGTGGGCTCCCTTCATTACTAAATCCATAACTGTTTTTCTTTCCTAAAGCCCTTAAAAAGAGAAAAGTAAGCATTTTAACCCCCACTCTGTGTTTAAGAATTATGTTGGCTCTCATAGAATGTCAGTCTGATTACAGTTTTCTAAGGAATTTTCTGGTGGCTTAAACTTCATCTGACTATTCTGAGCACAAAGTACATTATTATGGAAAACTTGAGCTAAGCCTTCCAGTTGTGCCTAAGTTGTTGGAAATAATTTGCAGAGGAACCCTTTGAAATGTTCTCTTTCTAATACAGAGACCAAAGAAAACACTATTGTAGATGTGCAATAGCATGGAATTTTAAAAGATAAATGTCTTAACAGGAAAAGTTATAAATGGGCTTCTCTGTATTTTCTACAGCTTTTATTTAACAGCCTAAATCATGGCCTCGATTGGAGGCTAAGTGCTCAAACTTTTACACAGAGTGTTTATTACATTGTATGCTGGCTCTTCGGTAATTTCAAAGGAGAAGTGGTAATGGAAAGAGATTGTAAATAAGAGGTTAATATATGAAAAGGTGTTTTGGTAGATTTTGAAGCCCCAGATTCTGGCACCTGGGACAGTTTTATATTCTCAACGTGGAAATGGAAATTCTCCCAGAAGCTTTGCTTAGTTTACATACACATTTCTACTGCAAGAAAGACAGTACTGCAAATAAATCCTCTTCCCTCCCCAGCTTTTGTGTGGGGAATAGCACTCCAGGGTGGTTAGCAAGACCACACCTACATAACACTGTTTCTTCAGTAAACTTTGCTTCTTTTCCTGTAGCCTCACTTCATGAAAATCAGTTAAAGCTGGGTTCTGTAGGGGGAATTTGCAAGTATAGAGAGACTTTTATCATACTTTATTGTGTCTTCCAGCAGAGGTAGGCAAAGCAGAGGCAGCAATGGGGAAGAATGAAAGGAATCAAGATGGGGGGTTGGGTGGGGACTGAGAGGACCAGTTGACTTAATTGTAAAAACCCTTGCCTATAACTCAAATGGGAAAACCCCAAATGATGAGCTCTCAATTTCCCATGTTTCAAAAGATTATGAAAGTATGAATTGAAGACTCAGAAAAAGGCAGACACTTTCTTGGAAACAAGAATGGGACATGATTAAGTTTACATCTAGTAAGAACTGTCCTCTGTACTGCCAAGTGACATGCAAGTCTGGCTGAGTCAGGCTGGTCACCTCAACCATGGGAAACATGGTTTTTTGTTTGCTTGTTTTTTAGACTGTAGAAATTAAAGTGGCATTTGCTAGGTGGCATATATTCTCTTTGAATAAAGAGAAGCCATGAGCTCATACTTTCAGGCATTTTCAGTTTCTTAAGACACACACTGTATCTTTGTTGTGGGTCATTGATTCTCAATTAGGGGTCAGTATGTACCCCAAGAGACATTCTGTAGTATCTGGAGGTTTTCATTGTCATCATCTTATAGGGTATTACTGATATGAATAGATAGAGATGAAGGGCCACTTAACCATCCCACAAGGCATAACATATTCCTCACAGCAAAGAATTTTCTAGCCTAAAGTGTCAGTAGTGCCAAGACTGGGAAATAGTGCTCTAGGTTTAGGTTTTATTTTATTTTATTTATAAATTAGTTGAGTTTTATTGCATATTTGGATTTTGTTTGTTTGTTTTGTTTTTCCAAACAAGGTTTAGATTCCTAAAGATTATTTGAAGTGAAAATACTATCTTCAAGAACTTGCCTGATGAAAATGGATGTTATCACATTTCCATGTCATAGCGTTTGCCCAAGCAAATGAGTTAGAATCCTGGATGATTCTTTATTTCTCCTCTAATTACATGCATATATCACTCTGTACACACCCCAAGTATCTGTGTGTGTACCCTTGCCTTAATTCCTAAGCCAAATTCAGAACCTTCTAATGGCCAACCACATCTTGAATGACTTCTAGTTGCTGCTCATTAGTCCACAGTACCCTGCAGATAAAGTGACTGGGTGGTCTCAGCAAACTTGGTAATATACAGCTGCTTTTTAGGAATTCCACAGCACTTCTAAGAAAATCCCTTCACTCTCTGTCTGGGAAGCATGTACTTCTCCGTCCAATGATCAGTTTTTTCCAACCTTCAATGCTGGGTGAAGAGCACACTCCTCACCTATACATATACCTTGATGCTTGTGTAGACTTCCCTGTTAAATTAGATATATCTGTTCTTCTCCATCCAGTTCATCTCAGCCTCTATATTCTCAGCAGAGAGTCAGAAGCCATGATCGGACCATACATGGGTGTACAAAGACCATGAAATGCTGAAACAGCACAGGGAAGAGCACGAGGAACTATTTCTGCAATTACTGCTCTGATACAAATGCATTTGTACAAGAAGTACATTTGTATGCGCATATTTATTCCTGTGTATATTACACAGCCAGACATATTTACAATTTATCCATGCACATATATTTTTTAAATCATCTGTGTCAATTGCAGTGTATATCTTGTAAATGGCACACTTCATGTCGGCATGCTTCTATGGATGCAATGCCCCTTGGTATCAATGTAGTCCTATGGAGATTTCTCCCATGACATACTTTGTGTAGTGGTTACCAGTAAACCTTTAGCCAGGCAGACAGCATGTGTGATTATTACATGGTATCTGAGAGTGGGAGAAAAATAAAATACCTGGGCTTCAGACTCAGCACTCTGGAGCTAAGGAGCATGATGACATGAATATGACTGTTGTGTAGGTTCTTGGTTCCGATGAACACTGAACAAGACTCTTATATTACAATGGCTTTATTACTTAAGCTATGTCTCTGTGGTTACAAACTTTATCTGAGGGAGCTCTAGCTCATATATTGAAGCCTTGGTATGCTATACAAGCACAAGAGTGGGATCTAGAATACATGTTTTTACATAGTGGAGGAGAATGATTTCAAATATAGTGTGTCATACTAATGGAAGGAAGTTATAGGCCAAATCTTTATCCTACTGGCATTAATCTCACATGGTGAGATCTTATTCCTGTTTTGCTAAGATCCAATGTTTCTAATTCCTTTTAGATAAGCTATATAGAGAAATATGTGCCAGATTAGACACAGTTCTTTTGTTTATATTTAAGTCCTCTCTCAACCATGAAGATAGCGTTCCCTTTGCTTGAAAAAACAAAGATGAGAAGAGGACTAGAGGCAGCATCAGTTTATGTAGAAATACAGTTACATAGCTTCTTGTATGAAGATGCACACTCCCCAGAACTAAGGAAAATCGAGATAGTTCTTAATTGTTGGCTGTTCCCAGGATTATAAACACCTAGTTCCTCTAAATAGTTCTTGCTGCTGACATGTGATGACACAGTAGACAGTCATAGTCATATATCACGTGCTGTGTCAGAGAGAACACACACCTATTACATGGCTGTTTTCTGGGGGTGGGGGAAGAAAGGCCTTCTCCTCTGCTTAGCTGTGGATAGACAGCTCTCTGGCAGAGCTCAGATCCCTGTCTTGGAAGAAGAGAAAGGATGCATCAGATGGGAGGGAGGCATGACTCCTTGCTGGGTGACATTGGCAGTGGCTGTCAGAAGACTCTCAGGGCAAGAACACAGGGTTAGAAGTCACAGAGTGCAACTGACCTGGGTCCCTGAGGTCTCTCCTTTGCCAGGCTAATGCCATGTGTTTAACCAAACCTTGCACGTTGCGCTTCCTTTCCTATGCGCTAAACTGCACGATGACTTCAGAGCTCTAATTAGCTTCATAAAGCCCTGGTGTTCAGGGTGAGCTTGGGCTAGGTTCATTCCATAGGAGCCTGTGGGTGGATCTAAGGCCAACTCGATGGAACTTCCATCTCTGGGAGGTGGGAGCCCATGCTAACCTCTCCTTCTGGAGGCTCACTTTAAAAATTACTAGAAGCATTTCATGCATGCTTGAAAATCATGGTGTTCTGCTTCATCTTTCTATATTCTGGCAACTGATGGGAAGAATAGGCCATTCACACATGATCTTGCAATCTCTGGGGTTTTCTGGGCTGTTCCCATATTACAAAGAAGTCTACCTCATTCCCAGAAATTGAGTGTCAAATGACCCCAGAAGATGTTGCCTCTATGCACATTGCTTCTGTGCACTGCCCTCATGTGAGTAGATGGGGTCAGAAAAGCATATTTCAAATCCATAAAAGGTGTCCTGATGTTCCATTATGGTGGCAGAAATATCACAGGCCAACCCATATTATTGGCCATAGTCACCATCTTATTGGCCTCCTGGCCAACCCTAGAACATGAGAGGCATGAAAGAGAAATCTTACATATACTACCTTAGAAGAATTCAGCTTTCCTCTCTCAGCTTCAAGTTGCTAGCAGAAATCAGTCTTAGTGACAACATGTAACAGCAGCAGTATGCACCCTCTTGCTTGCTCTGTTCTTCATGCTACTAACCAGGCTCTGTGGATGTTGTTTTTGTCTCAAATTTGATTTGGGGGGTTGCTTTGCATGTCATCTCCTCTTGGCTGTTGGTTGCGGGGTTGAGCCTTTTCCTTTCTGTGATTCAGGTGCCTCACTCTTTCCTTTCCAGGTTCTTCCAGTTCTTTTAACATGTCAAACTCTGGAGATTTGTTCATGAGCGTGCAGTCACTCAATGGGGATTCTTACCAAGGGGCCCAGGTTGGAGCCAACGTGCAATCACAGGTAGGGACCAATATGCCGCCAGGTGAATTCAGTAGAGTCCAAGAGCCTTCAGTTGTGTCAGCTTCCTGCTCCTGTCGAGACAGAGAGAAGGAAAAAGGAAGGAAGGGAGAGGCAGATACACAGCAGCCAAACCAAATAAAAATAAGACAAAGCAGAAAATACAACCATTCTGGTAGGGGATCGTGTCCATGTTTTGTGAGTATGTTTGGCTGTGGCTTGTCAGTCACGCTAGGAAGGCAGGGAAGGAAGATGTACAGAGTGAGGTGAAGAAGGCCTGTGAGGCAGGTGGAAGTGGCATCTTCATTATTCTTCAATGGAAAAGGAATTTCAGCTGTTACCTCTTCCGAATCTCCCTCTCATCTATTGGTTTCCGATCTTCAGGATTTGCTAACATAAAGAAGCCTTCAGTGTGTCTCCTGTTTGCATTTTAACTTTAAAATTACCAAGCCAGCTTGATGAAACACATATGCTTAGTTACCCTTGAGGTCAATGGACTTGAGTTTCTGAAGATAAGGCCACATTGGGAACCAAAAATCGGTCATGTGTAAAACCTCAGTACTTCTTAGTAAAACCCTCCGCCTTCAAGACAGATATCTCAGGAAGCCATCCTGCTATCTCAGCATGAAGTGTGATGTGAGAGGTTAAAGTCATATGTTTTGGGTCACAATGACTTAGGAAGATATGAGCTACCCATGTGTCTTATCCAACACATGGAACAGAAAGCCTACATGTCTGGAATAGACAGCTGGATGGTGACTCAGCCTCTTGCTCAGGAAACACTGCTTGGAAACAAATTTGAGGTGATACAAGCAGACTTTGATCATGTGACTAAATGTCATACCATCCTTGCCCCCAAAAAAAAACAAAACAAAAAACCAACTGGGTCTTTATCGCAGTCCCCTCTGTGTCATGGCTGCCCAAGACTAAGCAGAACCTTGGTTCTCCTACGAGTTGCATGGGATAATCTATAGGGAGGAAAAGTGGGAAGGAGGTGTGATGGGGGGAGAGAAGCATCTCTATCCTCTTCACTCTGCACCCCTACCACCACCACGGTCTCTGTTACCTCTCACAGCATTGTGCACTCTGTCTCAGTCTTGGGAACCCAAGTTTTATTTTCCTGTTTTACTGATCTCAGAAGTAACAATGGATTTGGCATGAGGGAGAGTTCCAGCCTCTTCCTCATGGGTTTTCCCCCAGGAAGAGCATCTCTAAAATGATTGCTTTAATGTAGCCTGCCACATCGGTAGTCTGGGAGATGATGATGCACTGCATCTTTCCCTCTCTCTGACTAATTGCCTCTCTGTTGTTGTTCCTCTGTCTAGGTGGATACCCTTCGCCATGTTATCAGCCAGACAGGAGGATACAGTGACGGACTCGCAGCCAGTCAGATGTACAGTCCGCAGGGCATCAGTGTAAGCAAACAAGGCTCCCCGAACCCTTTGTTTCTATTCTATCACTGCCAATTATTTCAAAGCCACAGGGCCCAGAATGCCACTTAGTAGGACTTGTCTTAGCATTCCAGTCACCTAGTTTCTTGTTGCTGTATCGGTCATGCCATCGGCAGCACCCTCCCCATGAAAGAAAGTAGTGATCGGGCAGGCTTCATGCAGGCAGCTGGCGTCTAGGGCTGTCAGACACAATCAGTGTTTGTGTGGCACCTGCGGCTACATGCGGGCAGCTGAGAGGAGCTGCTAAACAGGTGACACCTAGTACAACAGTGGTAGGAAATGTCACCACAGGCTGGGACCAGGGCACCTGGAGAAGAAAACCAGTAGCCCAAATCCATTGTGCCCAGGTCTGTGGCAGTAAAAATAAAACACATCCCCCCCCCCCCCCGCTCCAAATGCGCCCAATAGATGATTTTTAAAAATCAACACCAAGGCCTAGTATGTTGAAGGGACAGGGAGGGGGTGTGACCATCTTCCACTTGTTCTTGGGTGCGCTGGCGGATCCTGACTAGCATGAAAATTCATAGCGACAAGCTATGTCGCACAGAGTGAAATCGATCAGACAGACACAAGGAGAACCGAGTGTAGATTTGGGACAGCAATCCAACTTGATTTCTCAGATCAATCGTCTGCTATCTCAGCAGCGATGACAGCAAGCTGGGACATGAGGGAAGCCTGGAAAAGGAGGCTGTTCTTTAGATCAGGGGTGATTTCCAGGCTTTTAGAGGTCACAGGAGGCTCCAGTGGGGTGACTGACTTGGAATTGCTGAAAGAAAGCAATGCTGTGGTTGGTTGATGGGGGTCATTGTTATTGTTTGCTGCTGTTATGATTAAAGTAAGTGAGGAGTGGAAGGAAGGCAATGTAGTCATGATTTAATAATGTGATCTCAGTCTATCCTAATTGAGACATAATGTCTACAAGGACATGGGGAATGGCCCCTTCAACTCTGCGTTGAGTCTTGTCCTACCCAATTATGGCAGATCTGGAAGGAATCAAGAGAAGAGAAGCTATTTCCTCAGATGAAGAATAATCCTTTTAAAAACGAGGAATTGCGGGGCTGATATGGCTCCATCAGTCAAGTGCCTGCTATGCAAACATGATCACCTAAGTTAGAGCCATAGCACTCATGTAAAGTCATCTGCCAAGACACCCATAAACCCATCACTAGGGAAACAGGGACAGGGAGATCCTTGGAGCTCTTTAGTGAGATAGCCTAGTGAGAGAGACTCGGTCTTAAGAAACAAGTGAAAAGAAATCAATGAAGATACCAGACCTCAACTTTTGACCTCAACATACACTTACAACACATGTACACATACCCAAGTACACCCATGCACACACCCACACAAGCACATACATAAACTACACACATGTAAAGAAGAGGAATTCTTATCCCATAAAAGAGAAAGTGTGGGTGATACATAGAAGCTTTAATACTGCTCTCCCAGAGAGGGATCAGCTTCATCAGGAATGGTCTAAATGGGACAGGATGAGTTTACTGAGTAGACGCATCAGAGAAGTCGATTCCAGGTACCTATGATAACAGGTACACACTGGTCTCCCATTATTAGAGAGCCTCATACATGGCTTGCCTAGCATCTTGGTAAGGATATGGTAAAAGGGAGCCAGTGATTAGGTAGTAATGGCAGGATGGGGAGGGGGTTAGTGACAAATATTATTGCAGTTAAGAATTCTTTTGGGGGTGGACATTTCCATACTGGATTTCTCTATTTAACAAGTTCCTAGCTGTCCTGGAACTTGCTTTGTAGACCAGGCTGGCTTTGAATTTACAGAGATCCACCTCCCTCTACCACCCAAAATATTGGGATTAAAGACCACCAAACTGCCAGACTGTAATAAGCAAGGCTAGATGGGGCCAGAGGAAGAAGATGCCCAGTACTGACCATTTGATATCATCTGGTGGGCTGAAAATTATTTCTGAGATAGTATAGCAAACATGTGCAGATAATTATGTCTGATTACGTGAGCCCTGCATAAAAACTAGGCTGGAAAATGCCACTTGAAAGAGTCACTCATGTGTATTAATTCCCCCCTCCCCCAAATTGTGGTTACTTTATTTCTGAGTCTCTAATACAGGGGAGTGGTGATAAGATACATTGCTTTGGTGTCAGCTTTTAAATGTGCCAGGCTGGTTGTAGCAAGATGTATTTTTAGAGGTTGGTATTAGGAGTCGGGGCATGGACATACACAGAATAAGGTTCCAACTGCCAAGATAGAGAGAGAGAAAAAGGGAGGAGACACAAGAAGAGACAAGGACAGGAATGAAAGATCTGAGCCAAGAAGCAAAAATAAACAATCCTAAACCCAAAGCAGCAATGGAATTCCCAGCTGGGATCTGGATTGTGTCTCATTTGATGGAGGACACTTTCTGGGCTGCACTCATCTGCTCCCTGGCTGGGTTTCCACAGCACCCATATCTTATCCAACTAGTGTCTATTTTTAAGTCGTGTAAAATGTGGACCTCTCACTGCTGACTGAGCTCAGAGCAATGGGATTACAAAGGTGTAGAGGTATCGTCCTATAACAATAGAGGGTAGATGACTTGTCTTGGTAAGCCCAGCATCAGGGGATGCTTTGGGGAAAGGGGATTCGATAGGTGTAAGTTGTTTCACACCAATATGGTGTGAAGTGCTTCAAGAGACAACTGTCTGGCTTGATTTGTTTCCCCTCTTTATGAGCAGTTTTTACAAAGGGTCTTTCCTGTTAAGAGTTGGTTAGGGCACCATTCTGATGCAAAGGCATTGATTTAAAATGGGCACAGAGTTATTCAAAGCCTCAGAACCCCCTTGTTAGCCACTGTGAACACTAAATTTCACTCCCATAAAGACTTCATGTTTTCTTCTGACCACAGGTGATTATTGATCCATGTACAGAGGCTCTAAGCAGCTCAGGGAGACTCAGACATTCTTGAAGAACGCCTAGCTACCAGCATCTTTCTTTCCACCGTAGTTCTGGAAGTAGTCCATTAACTAGGCTTCTGCAGCAGACTCCTTCCTTGTGCTGTCTTCGGTTCGCCTCTCTTGCACGTACTGATACACTGAAGTGTTCCCATGCCATTCTTGGCTCAGAAATAATAAGCAGTTTTTACTGCCTGCCTAAGCAGGCCCAAACTCTTGAGTCCTTATACAGGATTTTCCAGTCTTTGGCCCAGCTTAACTGCCCTTAAACTCTGGGTTCTAATTCATATGGTTCACTGACCTTTACCTGGTTACATCTTAAACCTCACCCTCCTGGGTCCACACACCATTTAAAGAGTGCCTGGTGCCCTTGGAGATTAGGTCATTGAGCCATCTCTCTAGCCCCTGTATTCACTTCTATATGACACCTGCATGGGTGTCCCTTCCCTTCTGGAATACCTTGATTACCCCATTCCTGTCCCAACAATATTTATTGCCCCAAGCTCAGTTCCTACTTTTGTCTTTTGTCCTATTAATCTTTTCCTTTCGTTTCTCATATACAAACCTCTTTTGCACTTAAAGTCACAAAGTGTCTTTATTGCCATTGTACCCTTCATCCCTACATATGTATACGGTCTTAAAATACATATACTATTTCCTTATTTTATTTGGTGAAAATGTCAGTCAGGAGAAGAAAAGATGCTACCAAATTAGGAACATTTTTTAAGAGCCACATTCAGTGTACCAGTTGTAAGGTAACTGGTAGTAATGATTATTTTAAGTGTTTCACATATCCATAAATAGGCTGTGTTTAAAATCTATTTCTTTTTGAGAATGACCTTTCTAGGCCAGCCATGGCAATGCATGCTTAAGAAGGAGATGGAGGATTGTAACGTTAAGATCAGCCCAAGCTCCACAAGACCCTACTTCAAAAACAAAGGAAACAAACACCACCAACCAAAACCAGCCCTCTAAATGCTTAGGAACATGTTTTTTGTATGAGAATAAAATCCAAGGCTTCTCCACTCAGCATGTGTGGTGTTTTGTGGTAATGTTTCTGAGTGTCATTTGTGTAGGTCCTGTCACTCTTAGCCCCAGAGCCCCTTTTTTCCTCAGGGCATCTCTTCCAGAGTACCTGTTGATTGGGTGGCTGTTTTGTTAATGATTCTTATTACTCCTCTCCTGCTGTGGAGGTGGAGGCTGTGCACCCCACTTGGAGGAGAGGGAAAGAAACCAGAAAGGAAGAAACTTAGAACCTGGGATCCCGATGAGCCAACCTGAAAGTCTCTTCCTGCTCAGAAATTCTACAGTTCTACAGTGTGGACATTTGAGTCCCTTAACTAAAGGGACACCAGGACAAACATCTAGCCCCCCCCCCAGATTGTATCTTGAGTTCAAATGTACAGGATAAGGAGGAGATCTGACTCAAAGAAATCTCTGCCTTTGGAGTTGGAGATTTGTAAAAGCAGAACCCTTATCCTGTAGGGTGAGAGTATTTATTTTAAATTGTTTTGAAATGTGAGTTAAGGGAGTGAATTTGCTGCAGCCAGCCTGGAGTGTCAATCCACCTGTAGATTTTGCTTATGCAAAAAGGTTTTAGTGCAAGTGTGAGTGTTAGTAGTATCTCTGTAATGGCAGCATGCCTATGACATCCAATTACCAGGGGGGATTTATTAATTTTCGGTTCATGATAATTATAAAACCAGAAAAATAGAGATGAATCTTTCCCCTTGAAAAATTGTAATGTGGGTGTTTTGTTTTGGCTTTTTCTTTTTTCTCATGTTAGGGGAAGAGGAAAACTGAACATGACTTAAGTAAATAAATAGACTGTAAATCTTAGCACAGAAATAACCTACCATTTCAAGTAAGTATGTGTCAAGCACTTAGGTATCTCAAGGTTTAGTTAGCATCACTTAGCTGCATGCCACAATTTGACTTTTTTCTTAACTGCTTCTGAAAGACCTTTTCCTTACAGTGTGTATTAAGATGGTGTTGCCACATGTGAAGTTGTAGGACTAAGAAAGAGAGGTGATCATTTAATTCAT